TATTCAGACTCATTTTGTTTCTGTCACACCAGTCCGCAAGAGCATTGACATCATCTTGAAGCGCTTGCTGATCCATGGGGTCATGGATAGGTCGTGAAATAACAGTGTCATCTGCAAACAATGCACATCTCGATAAAACAACCTCAGGGAGGTCATTAATGAATAGGTTAAACAGGCATGGTCCTAGGACACTCCCTTGTGGAATACCTGAGGTAGGTGTTGACCACTCAGAGTAATGTCCTTTGTGTTGGACGCGTTGTAGTCTGCCAGATAGAAATGCACGGATCCAGAACCAGATATCGCTTGAGATGTTGTAGTGAGAAAGCTTGTGCAGAAGGACATCATGAGGCATACGATCAAAAGCTTTCGCGAAGTCGAAGAATATCGCGTCAATAGAAGGGGGTCTACGCTTGTCCAGGTCCTGGAGCCAGGAGTGTGTCAAAGTCATTAGCGTGGTAACACATGACTTATGATGAACAAAACCATGTTGGAATGGAGTGAGGAGGCAATTTGATACCATGTGGTCAGAGATCGCTCTTGAAATCAGAGACTCCATCAGCTTGATGACAATAGATGTTAACGCGACCGGGCGATAATTTGAAACAATCAATCTATCCCCAGCTTTGAACACTGGGACAATATTTGCAGATTTCCATCCTTCAGGTAGTGATCGTTGTCTGAGTGACATATTAAAAAGACGTTGCAGGATAGGAGATATCACATCCACTGATTTCTTGAGAAGAACGGGAGTGATTAAATCAGGGCCAGGACTTTTCTTGTCCTGTAACTGCATGATGCCCCTGTGAATTTCCTGAGTTGAAATCGAAATGGAATTGAGTTGAGGTAGTGGATGGTCACATGCACTAGGACCATCGGGCAACACACATGGAGGAGGGTAGATTGACTGGAAGAATTCTCCAAAGCTGTTGGCTATGTCACTAGGCTTATTAATGACTGCCCCACCTACGAGTAGAACTGGAGGAGATGTACTCTTCTTCTTAGATCTGACGTACGCAAAGAAACGCTTTCTGTTGACTGGGAGAGCGAAGAGCTTATTTACATACATCCAGTAGCTTGCATTAATTGCATTCTTTGTATCATTGCGAACAGCTTTGAACTTTTCCCAATCTCGTGGATCATTTGAACACTTTGCATGCTTAAACGAATTGTGCTTTTTGTTGATCAGCTTCTTTATTTCCTTCGTCGTCTTTATTTCCTTCATCGGCACTTGTGTCAAATGAGGCGAAAAGTGACATTCTCCAATTTGCATAAAAGGGCCAGAAGCGCTTTGAGGAGTTTGTATCTGATCGTTTGCTCTCATCATCAACCCTCTCGGTGTGAAGATGAAGAAACTGAAGCTGAAATCCTTTTCGAACTGGATGGAGAAAAGGAAAGTGCGTGTTGGAGACAAGGTCATCAAGTTGCGGGAGGAACGTGAATTGCTGGGAAGATTCCTTATCATCCAAGGCAGCCGCCCAAGCTTAGTTCCTAAACTTGCGGAAACAATAGGTGAATATGAAATGTCAGTGGTTCCCCGTTCACTATGTGCTGTCGATAGTTCTTTGTACATCCCAACAGACAGAGCAAGTCTGATGCATGCAGTTGAAGATGCAAAGGCAGAACCTCCCGAAGCTGTAAAACAGCCTGATGTCGTGGAGGATAATCATTCAACTTCCCCACAGGTTGAAATGATGCAGGAAGAGGTTCCGGTTACCGTAGAACATGAGATAACGCAGGTTCCTTCTGGAGCAGCCCAACAACCTAACCTCTTGCATGATCTTCCTGTCAAGGTGCTGATAATTTACGCCATGGGTGTACTTCAAGGCATGAAAAAGACACCTGCCATGCAAAAGATGTCAGACCTGCAGAATGCATTCAACAGGCGCA